TTTTGTATTATTTATATCACATTTAGTAAATTCTTATATTTCCCTTTTAATACATTATATTACTATACAAAGAAAACTTCCACCAAGAAATTTGCTAACATATCCTTTTCGTATTATATCTCATTTAGTAAATTCTTACATTTCTCTTTTAAGACATTATATTAATATAAGGAGAAAACTTTTTTTTCCCTTTTTGTACAATATCTCATTGTATTCTTATATTTCCATCTAAGGACAATGTACATCTATAGTATTCCATTTTAAATACCCACTCGCATGTAATTTCCCATGAATTAGGAACTCGCAGCAGGTTAAGTCAACAGAAAATTCAATGTTATTTTGAAATTAATTTTTTTTTAAATTACTAAAAATAATTTTACTTCAAATTTTAGTACTTTTAAAAGTACTTTTAACAGTAACTAATATAATAATCTTTCCACCTAGTATTCATACTTCACTTTAAGGACATTGTATTACTCTAGGAGAATGTTTAATTCCTAATGACCTGGTTTTTCCATATCATTTATTATTATTTTTCATGATACAAATTAGAATATAATTAATTGCTACAAATAATGTGACAAAAATATTAAATATTATGAATAATATCTCTATTGAATATTCATATTTATTTTTTTCTAAGGACATTGTATTATAATGAGAAAAATACCCATCATAATTTTCCATATACTAGTAGAAATCAAACCTGGGAAATTGTCTCAAAAGCCAAAATACAGAGAGAGTGATTTTAATACAATATAAAATGGATATAAAAGGTTCTCAAATATTCCAATGATCAACAGATTATTGCAATATTATTATTTCATTAAATTTCTTTACAGAATATTGTTATTTAACTCATTCATTGCAAGGGGCATTTACCTGTTTAATAGTAGATATGTAAGATAGTTATTATTTATTGCATTGAATTACTTTTCCTGCTTAATTTATTGAAAGAGCGATGTAATTTCCAAGGATTTAGATTAATAAAGTGATGTCTATGTCATGTCTATTATATAAGAAGAAAATTGTTTCACTAAAAATGTAAAATTAATAAACTAAAATTAAATTGACCTTAATTAATGGTGTACAAAGTACTTTCCCCAACACATATTATCTATCATCTTTGTTTTCTATATTCTGTTCAAATAATATTATTGTATGCTTCCCTTTATGGACATTACAATGGGATAAGTACTTTCTCAAAATAATCTTAACATCATATTAAACTTCAACATAGTATTTTTATGTTTCCATCTAAAGACATACGGCTACAGGAAAAATGTACTTTACTCAGTAATGTGATATAATGTCCTTTTTGTATAAAAGTTTGTATTCTTTAAATATTTTCCTCTAAGACTACATTACTATAATACCCCTTTCAGACAGACCTACAAAATGATATTAATACTGTATTTCCCTAACGCTGGCGTTCTATGTTAGATCTTCCATACGCACTGAGACATAAAAAATCAGACGGTCACACAAGCAGTCATCAATCGCTGCTGCAGCTAACAAAACCAATGAAATCGCTAGCTGACGGTTCTTTAGAGGTGAAAATTGCCTGCACCTAGCTGCTCGAAATTCAAGCCAGCCTCGCCTTAAACGTTTCCTAAATTCTTTCTTCACTTGAACGAAACGCATTAAAAACCTTCTGTCTCTCAATTTATATGTATTGCAAACATAGCAAGCGTTAAAAAACATTTGCAAAGCAGCAGTTTTATGACTTCATCTCCTGTCATATTGGATTAATGGAGTAAACAAAAACTTGCGCCCTGTTAACAAGCACAAGCGCCACAGACATCAAATACTCCTTTCCGAGAGAACCCTTTCAGACAGGATACGGTATTATTACCAGATTTTAACTAGCTTTGTGATAACGGCAATAACGGTGGCGTGATTAGGGTATTATTGCGGTATTTTCTGTCTGAAAGGGGCTTTAGAGGAAAACTTTCCCAAAGTAATGTCATAACATGTCCTTTCTGTATTTTATCTCATTTAATAAATATGAATATTTCCCTTTTAACATGTTGACTGATAAACAATTTATCCCTTTAACAGATTGCATAACTGAAATTAGCACAAAAAGTTGTCCTAGAAAAGGGTTTCATGGCTGTCTAGACAGTACATGGATAATAACATGCTCATTTGAAATCAATAGTAACACAATTTTATTGCACAATTCTTGCACTTGGGCCATTTTTTGGGGACAGTATATTACTAATTAAACACTATATCCCTTAACTAAATGCATGCCTGAAATAAGCACATAAAGTTGTTTTAGAATTGTAAGTTTCAAGGGTCTAGGCAGATTATTTTTAAATATTATCGTTATTCAAGAATTAATTTTGTCACATTTACACACTGATATTGTCACACATTTGAAAAATATACCCCTTTTCAAATCGCTTTTTAAACATGAAGGAATAAAGACACCAAACTGATATTTGGAACATCTGATTATCATATATAAATTAATTAATGGTGCAAGTTTTAACAACAAGCGTACTTGCCCACAGGGTCAAAGGTCACCATGAAAACAAGGGATTTTTATGTATTTTACCCCCTAAAATAATAAGTGAAAAATCCGGATCCGAATAACTGATTTTGGTATTTTAATGGGGTCTAAAAATGGAAGAAAAATTACGCAACCAAATAAGTTATAGGGTATTTACGAAGCAATATTTTCATAACGGTGTCCGGTACACCAAAAAAAATATAAATTTTCAGTTAATTATATTTGTTCTAATTGAAAATGGAACTTTACATATATGTCATAATTGAGAGCTAAAAAGGTGTATGACCCTAAAATTTCAAATGGCCGTAATTTCTAAACGACGTGGAATTGGCAACTCAAATTTTGGGTTTGTCAGACATGTTGGTGCTCATTGAGAAGAACATTGAGGTAAAAATATTAAGAATTAAAAGTTAAGTGCGAAAGTGCATTAGCGCCAAATCAAACTTTGCCTTGGTGCCCTTTTATATTTGAAATTTTGGCCTTGGTCCTTTCCATTTGGCCTTATCAAAATCATGTCATACCAGAGGCCATTTGGCCTTGCCTATAAAATCCCCAAATTTGAGGCCTGAGATACAATACACGTAAAGGATATGTTGTCACATTACTTTGGGAATGTTTTCTTCTTATAGTAATATGTCATAAAGGGAAATAAAATACTTGGGGAAAGTTTTCTTCTTATAGTATTATAATGTCATAAGGGGAAATATAAGAATTTACTAAATGAGATATAATATGAAAAGGATGTAATATCAAATTACTTGGAGAAGTTCTCATCTTATAATTTAGTATAATGTCTGAAAAGGGAAATGCAAGAATTTACTACGAGATACTGTATTACAAAACGGATGTTGTCACACTTGGGGAAAGTTTTCTTCTGATAGTAGCATAATGTTTTAAACGTGAAATATAAGAATTTACAAAATGAGATAAAATACAAAAAGGGTGTTATCACATTACTTGGGAAGTTTACTTTGTATAGTATAATATAATGTCTTAAAAGGGAAATATTTGAATTTACTAAATGAAAGAAAATACAAAAAGGATATGTTATCACATTACTTGGGGAAAATTTTCTTCTGATAGTAATGTAATCTTTAGAGGGAAATATTTAAGAGAATACAGTACTACAGTGTGAGATATTGTATTGTGTGATATTTTATCACATTTCATTAATTGACTAAAAGCACATTCATATAGTAATATAGTGTCTTTAGATGGAAATAAAATGATATAGAAGTTAAAGGATATTTTACCACATTATTTGTATAAAGTGCTTATCCCTATATTAATGCTGTAATGTCCATGAAGGGAAATAAAAGAATACTATATGAGATATTTATACAAAGAGGAGATTTTATCACACAAATTGAGTAAAATAATTCTTCTTATAGCAGTATTATGTCTTTAGAGGGAAACATGGATAGGTTAAATATGTTTAGGATATTTTATCATATTACTTGGGGAAACTTCTTCATTTAGTAATACAAAGTTTTAGAAGGAATTTTGAATACTGTACATACTGAAATGGTAAGGAGAAACCATGGGAATCTCCATATAATTATTTTTGATAAGCGGTAATGCATATGACTGCACTACAAATTTATGAAAAATTGTATACACCCATAAACCATCAGTGCATTAAAGCCTAAAATGATCTTCTGTGAATTGCTTAATTATAGGCTTTAAATTAAAACCAATTTAAATTGAAATGAGAGAAATTGGGGTATTATCATTACAGACAAATATGTGGGTTTGGGAAAACATTTTTCTTGGTTTTTAAAGTCAGAATTCCCTAATTATCTTGTGTTTATATATCATTATGCCAAAATGTACATTCAAATAAGCCACTTATAGCTCATGTTGTTGGATAGCAAGTAACATTCCTCAACTATTTGCAAGCTCATTGCATTTTACAATTTAACATTTTGCTTATACTGCTATTCAGATAAAAGTTTTGAATTTGCTGTACTCATCTTTAAAAAAATGGATATTTATATGTGTGGAATTATTTTTTTACCTCTACTGTTGAAAAATAAGTGTACAGTAGGTTAATGATGATCCTAATACTGTACCACCAAGTTGAAAGATATATTGTTTTATTATAGGTGAAGTTTACCAAATTCACTGAAAATCACCGATCTCTTTCTAAGAAAACTGTAAAACATCTACCAAACAAACTCTATAACTTAACTGTACAGAGGCTATTTCCTTGTTTCATACTATTAAATGGTTGTTTGATTTTTTTTTTCTGTCATATTTTTAAGGATGATCAAATATTAAAACAAACAAATTTTGCTATTATATAGTATAGGAATGCAATTGGGACAAAACTGTCTTCATATGAATTACCGTAGTTACCCACATTCTGTAAGCAGTTGAGGGTAGAAAAAGAAGTTGAATATTGTATTTTTATTTTTATTGTTTTTAATTTTGTTAAAAATTTGCAACTAAAATATATTCACCTTTTTAAAATTATGTACAGCATTGATGCATCTGAATCAACATCCCTTGGAAGATTTGCAAATGATGCTGTAGGACCACTGCAAAATAGCTATGTTAAGAAGATACTTATTAATGGCCTTCCTTACTTATGCCTCTATGCCAAAAAACAAATATCTGTTGGTGAGGAAATTAGGTATGACTATGGAAATCAGTTTGCTCCATGGAGGGTAAGTTTATTTGATATATTTCTGTTATTATTCATACTGTTGGTATATATATTTCGGTAGGCCTATACTTATTCAACCAACAAAAACATACATGGCAGCCAGAGCTGAATTGCATATGTATTTACAATTAAAATCGTCGAAACAAAAAGAACATAAAATACCACAATTCAAGGATGAGCTAGAACAAAATAAAGTTGAAAGAGGATGCAACAGGCAAAAGTGACTACAAAGAGGAACCAGGGCAGACAGTTGTACTGCAGTGCTGTTTCCAGATTGCTCATTAGGTGAACACTCCATCTAAACTGTCCACATCCTTTTGGTTTTTTCACACCATCTACTATCAAGGTTAAAATAAACATTAAACAGCAGGGTGCTGCCAATGTGTGAAAATCAGTGATGCATGTATCAAAGGACTTGCATAGTTTGCTGTAAAGTTGTTTCATTCACTCACATGAAAGGGTTGGACCTATAATATTTTTCGTAATTTCTTATTTATATTTCACATCATTACTCACTTCACATCAAAACACATTGCTTGCTGAGGAAAATTTAAAATAATGAATTTGAGGCCTAGGCCTACGTCAATTTTTTTCAGCATACCATCACAGGCTAGCTAGGCCTAGGCAGGCCTAATTCTTCAAATCCTAGAGTAGGCCTAGGCTAGGCCAAGCTAAGCCACCACATCGTTTTCTATGGCAAATTATAAGTATCTTTATTATCTGTAACAACTACAAAGGGGTACAGTTTCTCAGCATTTCAAAACATTAAAATTTTCAACTTGCAAATACTCAAACTTACCCAACCCCAGCTAAAATTTTACATCGAAATGAGCACAAATTCACTGGCTTTCCTAACAGTAAACAACTCTTTGGACTAGTGTTATTGTAGCCACACTATGGTTGGTTTTTTTTTAAGAGCTTCACCAATTCACATTATGCAAATATGGCACTGGCTGTATAGAGAGGCTATTCGCATTTCTACCTGCACAACAAAATCGGGAGCGTAAGAGTTAAATATTTTCACTTATACTGGTCCGTTTTTCGTGATTCGAACTGCTAAAAACATTGTACAGGGTTTACATTAAATAGGTTAACATATATAAATCAGTAACAATTACTTATTTTTATATTGTAAGACAGGACTGCTTAGTAATCTGTTTAGGAATGCTCCCCAGGAGGCTCCTTAATCCTGATAATCAAGGTTAGCTCTTATCTAATGTAAACATTGAAAAGGATGTGCTTAAACCCGAGTTATTCTATTTCACTTTCGCTTTAGATGAGATGTTTTCGTCATGTGTAGGCCAACCTATACCGTAGTTTTCCGGGTTTTATCCCACCCCCCATGAACGCAAAATTGGCCCGATTTTTTGGGTGGGGAGGAGGTGGGATTATACCCGGGGATTCCTGTGTGCATGAACAAAATGAAAATGACGATCGTTTTGCGAGGTGGCAGAAGCTTTATGAACAACTGCCCTAAGATTCAATGGCCTATACAAAACTATATTCTAGTGAGTTTATTTGAATATCAAAGGAGTACTGTTTAGGCCTAAAGCGCCTAGCTAGAGAGGCCATATTTTGGCTTTCTTGATGACGTAGGTTATTTTTTACCCAGCAACAACCAATCCAACCAATCCCCCATTGCATGGAAGACTGCCCACTTGTAATTCATGATGTAACAAGTTATTTTAGCAGTTAGAGTCTCTGTGTAGAACATGTCTTTATGCTCTGAATTAATCTGATCAGCCCAATGGTCGGGTCTCTTTAGGGATGAACCGTGTGGTGTTGTCTATTTTTAGCTGCAACTGTGGAACACTTGAGTCTTCACATTGTGAGTTAAAGATCTGATCATCCTACTGGGCGTAACTCTTTAGTGACAGACCGCGGTGAGGGCCTATTTTTAGCCGCAGTTAGTGAGCTTGTATATTTTAGCGACAGTAAACATAGAATTTATAAGAATTGGATTTTGTATTCAATTTTACGGCGACAAATGTCTGGTCTAATCAATTGGAAGAGTTTTAGGTCTGCAAAATTATATTAATTATATTTTGTGAGCATTTGTAAAATTTGCCGACCTAGACCTAGACCTACTCACCTAAATTATACATCGGGATTTTGTAAAAATGCCTGTACGCAGATTTGGGTGTAAAGTGGGGGTGGGATTATACCCGAAGTGGGACTATACCTGGGGAACTACGGTAATAGTTTATTTGAGATTATTTAGTAGACCAGTCATAAAGGGGATGGAGCTATTTTGAAATCTTGTAGTTTTACATGTATAATTTTTAATTAGCTGATGATTCCTTAGTGTCATGCAGGTTCTGAGTTCAGGGGCAGGGTGGGAAATCTACATGAAACGTATGTCTTTGAGGCAAATTCCTTACTATTCCATCTTCTAATGTGAAGAGGCTGAAGATCTAAATTTGCAAGAGACTCTGTGTATGAAGTATATTCAAAGCCTAGAATGATCTTATGGCATGAATTCTCCTTGTTCACTTGTCCCTGAGTGAGAACCGCATGTCACAAAGTGCAGCATACTCTAAAACAGGTCTAACATACCCTTTGTAAATACAGACTAATTCATTTTGGGAAAACCCTGCCTCTTTTAACTTACATATTATGAACATTTTGTGATTGACTTTATTTAGTACACATATTATCTACCTGGCATTGCCACTTTAAATCATTTTGTAAAATGACACCCAATAACTTAGCTTTTTGGACTAATTCCAACTGATGGTTGGAAATGTACAATTCTAACCATCAGTTGGTAGGTTCAAACACAGCTTGCGCTGAATACAGCTACAACATTATGAAATTCCCCCATAGGACCTGAGTGTGTGTTTCATATGATCCAGTGATCCGGGGGTAAGAAGCACATAGAGGTCTCTACAATATGCGCTATATAAGTCAACAATTATTTTTATTATTAGTAAAATCTGTCTCATTTTTTGGTTTCTCTGCACCCTACACTAGATGGTGATGATATACTGTACATCAATCAGAGAGTGGGTCGTGGACAATCCTTTGCGGTTAACAAATTGTCTGGAATCTATTTTGTTATTGATTGCCTCAGTTATCCATTTGCACACATGGCCTTCTGCTATGTTTGCAGGGCATCAATGAAATTAGCCATAAATTACCTATTGATGGTGGGAATATCTTAAGGCACAGGAATCACATTAGCTTCTTTCCATTGTGTAGGAACCTTACTCTGGATGAGGGAAGCATTAAAAATGTAGTGCTCCATGCTAAATACCAAACAGATCATAAAAATATTTTTTTGAAATTAACTTACCCATTTTTTAACTTGAACATAGAAATTAGTGTATTTAAAAAATGTCTACTCATTAGTTTCCAGTCACTGGAAGTGTACTATTATTTTTTATTTAAAATCAGGATACACATTTTTTAAATTCAATAATTTTTATGCACATAATCATTTGTATGCTATTGGATGTGATCAAGTTTATTTCATAATTATTTTTTATGATTTTTTGACATTAGCAAGGGACAATACATCATTAATAATATTTGTCACTGGTTGGCTTAGCTCATACTTTTTTTAATAGTCTTGGGGGCAGTCCATTGGGGCCATCTGCTTTAAACTAGAATGTTTGCTTTTGTTCTTATAAATCACCCAATGCTGGACATGGGGGGTGAGGGCACAGGGCTTGGTAAATATTTTGGGAGGTCCGTTTTACTAGAGGTTGTTGTAGATTAGAGAAACTGAGCAACTGCTTATTGATTTCGTTTGCTACACATAAAAAAATTTGTAGGTACAAGATCTATGGTAAAAGTAGGATCACAATTTAAAAAAATCTAATTTATTGCTTGGTTTTTTTTTATATCGCATCTACAAACTTATTGCACTGATCATTTTGCAGTTTAAATTATGAAAATCTCCCACAACCTTCAAAAGTTACAGCTCCTTAAAAAGGGTGAAAAAAAAAAGGGGGGGGGGGTGTTTAAAAAAGAGTTGTTTTTTCTGGATTCAAATTTTCAGTATTTTTAGAGGGCCATAACTTCTAAACTAACATAGAAAATTTCTAATTTTTACATATTCTCTTGATGTTAGTTGTATGTTTATATTTTTTTCGGGGTCATTCCTTATTGTTGTTTTGGAAATATGTGCCCTTAAGTATGGTTGCATGTTAATTTTTACCTATTTTTCGCAAGTGTCTCAAAAAGGGCTCCAATTATATAGGTCAAATTTGAGAAAGTATATAAATGTCAGAATCAAAAATTATTATTTTAATATTATTATTTTACAATAAATTTTTACCCAAAATCTGATGATAGTTAATGTAAATTAGAGCAGCTGTGTTTGTTAATAATATTTTATTTTTTTAGCAGTGGGTGATTTTTAGAACCGTCCATTTTGCGATGGGGTATACATTTTGTTGTTTTGTTTGTTTGTTTTGTTAGTGATCTAGAGTGAGCAAGAGATATTTCATTTACAATGGTCAGGCACGGCAGATGTAATGAATAAGCCTACAATCTAGGCTACAACAATTAATACTCTCTTAATAGGTATCCCAATGAGAAATTTCAAATTCATTATTGTGAATTCTCTCTTCATTTAATATGCAGAACTTACTGCACTGATCACTTTCCAGTTTAAATAATGAAATCCAACATACCGTTCAAAAGTTATGGCCCATCAAAGTTGCCAAAAATGGGGGTCAAACGGTTAAAAAACGGTTTTTTTGGAGGGCCATAACTTCAAAAATAATCATAGAAAACATCTAATTTTCACCAATCTGGTAGATCACATAGGGTTTTATGTGTCTATTTTTTTTGGGGACACTCTGCCATGTGGTTTTTTAAATAACGGCCCACGAGTATGGTCCCTCTGCATTTTTTGGCAATTTTTCGCAAATGTCTCAAAAATGTGCAAAATCGGCACTTTTTCAATGGCCTATATCTTCTTAACCACTGCATCAATCCACTTACTTTTTTTTGCATTACAAAGAATGGTATATATATATGGCCAGGGTCAAATGTATTATAACATACTTAAATTAAATAAGATAAACCCCTAAAATAAAATTATCGCCAAAATATTTTAAAATGCAAAATCGGCAATGTTTGAAAAGTAACAAAAATGGTGTAAAAATTGTATATGTTGTAACCTTTTGTCATTTATGTTATTTTTTGTTAATGTTTTACTATTTAAAGACTCACATAAATTAAATCAGTCAAATCAAGCTACATTAAAATTGGTTCAAAATTAGAAAATAAACAGGCATAATTTTCAATTTTGCTTGAAATATGTCATATCCATCACAGGAGAAAGAATCATTAGCCAGGCCAAACTGCATCATCAGAGGAGATAGAATCATCAAGTGAAAAGAATGCATGTGTTGTTCAACTCAATACTACACAGAATTGAAACATGAGTCAAAGTTGTTATCATACCTTTCAACATTTATTTGAATTGATCAATAATCAACTTTATTTTGGTATGTACAGTGCAATAAAGAAGAAAATCACCACCACTATCATTACTGATCATCGACAATATATACTGTTAAATTAATAGTGAATATATATATTACAGTATATTCAGAAGACAGTATGAATTTATGATACAAACTCTGAAGAAAGTGATGTAAGCCATCGTGATTCTATATTTCAAACTTTATTTGTTCATCTCCAGGAATAAATTTATTTACAATCTGACGACTTAAATCGATTGTTTATTTAAGAAACTTGTTTTGTACAGGTTTACTATGCAAGCCTCCTGTAACTGGCCTCCCTCTGCCTTTCCCAAACTCGATCTTTAAACTTTTGAAAACATCATCATCTGCAAAAACAATTAATATTATAAATTACATCTTCATCCATCATACATCTATCTAGCCTAGGCCTAATTAGCTAGGCATACTCGACTTACTTAAAACCACCAATAACTAGGCCCAATCTAGCAAGAATGGTCGCAGTGCAGTGATACGACTCGCGGAGTTCGCTTGTTGAGCAAGGCGAGAGAGCGACCATTCGTGACACCGTAGATCAGTAATATTTAGGCCTAGCATTTAAATCATTTATCTATATTAGCGGGCTGTTAAAACCCACGTTAATGATATAAAATTAAGAACTAATGTACTAGTGATATTATAATTAGTAATTCAGTCAAAATAC